AAATGCCAGTGAATGCAATACTGTAAATTGTGCATCTTTGCAATTTCTTTGAAAAGTTTCGGTAAATATTTTTTATACTTTTAGCAAATAGATTTTAATGATTTTTATATTAAATTAAAGTGCACACTCTTGGCTACACGTAGAGTACATTTTCGCAATATAAATCAATCTGCAAAGGTTCATAAAATGGCAAAGAATGCGATGCTGCAAAGTGTGCATCTTTGCCATTTCTTTGAAAAGTTTCGGTAAATATTTTTAATACTTTTAGCAAATGGATTTTAATGATTTTTATATTAAATTAAAGTGCACTCTTTTGGCACTTACTGAATATATAAATTACTTTCGAAGATATTTAAATTATAATAATAATCATTCAGACCCCAACTATGTATAGAAAAATTATAATTCAAAAATAAAAATAATTTCTTTCATTGTAGATTAGAATTGGCGATTTTGGGAAAAGACAATGTGGATTAGACGAGATGTTCGATTGACAAGATGACTATGATGAAAACAATTGGCTCGTCTTCCTGGCTTATACGATCCTATAAGAGAAGCAGATTCAAGGAAGACTGGCCGTTATTATTATTTCTATTGTTAGCATATGCTTCGGAAAGTTGCACGGCTCGTAACAATCCACCACGCTTTCTCATCGACGGACAGCCAGAAATTGTTCTGAGATTGAAAGAAGGTCCAGAAACACCAATTGGTACGTAGAAATGCGTTCGATTCGATCGACTTATTTTCGCGTGCTTTAAACGACTACCTAGACTCATTCTCTTGCTACATATTTACCTTCGTTCACGCTTCATAAACTTCTCTTGACTAATTTGGAGCACTGTCTTTTGAACGGTGCTACTTCCTTTCTTCTTCTTCTTCTATTTCTAATACTTCCTGGCTATTGTGTTTCTCGTGACATTTAAATCATTGATGCGTAATGAAAAACATATAGTCATACCTATCATACGCCCCTAAATAGATTTTAAATGAACAATATTAACTCTTTGAAGATAACTCGCAATGCAATTTGTTGAACCATTATATTGAACCTATTCTGACAATAAGAATATGTCAACCAATTAAACGTATCTAAATAAATATATAAATAACAAACAAATGAATTTGTTAGTTGATTATTTTTTTATAAAATAGCACATGTTAAATTAATTGAATAAAAATTAAATTTAATTAAACTGGGTATGTAATTAAATAGGGAATTACATGAAATAACCGATATGTCGTGACGAAGGAATAAGATTTCACAAAATCGACCAGAGTGTTTCGAGCTTCCTACGAATTTCAATTACTCCTACGAACGATCAAGACCCGCATCATTTCGTAATTCGTGCCAAATGACTTCTGTTGCAGGCAGCTTAATTTATAGACTACGCGGTGTCGATCCTGACGGTGACAGTCTGACGTTTGACGTCAGGGATCAACCTGGAAGCGAAGTAATTCGACTTGAGAATTTCGGTCTTAACGAAGCTAATATATATCTCAACAAATTGCTAGACAGAGAGGTAAGTTTACGATGCTAACACATTTACGTTTTCAATCCTTTTCATACGATTGATCATTTTTTTTAACAAAATATCTCATAATAATTTCAATTGCGCGACTAAAAAACAAACCAAATTTCTCTAGATTTCTATTTCCGGTTAGATATTTTCTTTAAAAATTTTTCGAAAAAAAATTAGTATTGTGTAAGGTACGAGACAATACTCGGAGAAATATCATAGCGGTTGTTATAAAAGGACAAAAAAAAAATGATCTATAATTTGCGCGTCTTGCACGAATGCTTCTCGGACCGATTTTACTGACTTCGATTCGAGTGTATTATCGGAGCTTGTTAAAGGATTCGATGAGACGTGAGAAAGAGCGATGAGATGACTTTGAATTTAAAATCGATTTATAATCTGTTAGATGTGCTCGTTTCAATGATAATCGATTATTAAATCGATTCAAAGAGAAATATAAAAACACCTTATAATTTGTCGATCAGGTTAGAGATGAATACGCTTTGGTGCTAACTCTGACAGATGGAAAGCTAGGAGAAGGAAATTTTATCACCCAAAGTTTGTTGCTATTAGTGGAAGATATAAACGACAATGTGCCAATTTTTCGACCTCATCCAACATCTTTGACAATACGGGAAGATTCCGGACCAGGTATATTAACAACCGTGGAAGCAACCGATGCGGACGAAGGTGCCCATGGACAGGTCGTTTATTATCTTCAAGAATTAGATGGAGACAATGATATTTTTGGGATATCAACTATCAATGGAAAAGGAATTGTGCGATTGCTTGGTCAATTGGATTACGAAAGGAAATATTTATATCAGCTGAGAGTTTTGGCGGTGGATCGTGCGATTAACGAAAAAGTTAGTAAAACTTCGTTAACTTTATCAATGAACGTTTTATTTTTTTTTAAACGTATGTCTATCAGTGTCCTTGAAAAGTTCAACGTGGGTTCAAGATCCTCTTCTGTGAGAATTGGAATATTATCTAATACCGCGTAGATAATACCCCTATAATTTTGCTAAAACGTTTATAGTATTCGTGTGTAAGTACCACCATGCAACAGGTAGAAGAAAATTATTGTAGGAAATTGATTTATAATACCATCTCTTTCGATGCGACTTACTCATTTTCTTTATCTTTAGAATTTGTGTATAGACATTAATAATTATTTCAGGTAAACACAGGAACGACAGCTATTTTAGTTAAGGTACAGGACGTCGAGGATCAACCACCCGAATTCATATCCATGACACCGGTTGCTAGAATCAGCGAGAATGCCAGGATCGGCACATCCGTTTTACAAGGTTAGCTCCGGTAGACCGTAGCGGAATAATGAAAATGTTTTTCATCTACCTTTCGATTTTAACATTTCTCCGATAATATCAATAATTAATACGATGAATTATTAATTTCATTGCATATGATTTAATGTTGCAACAGAAGTATTATATAAAAGATTAACATAATATTGTAATTAAATTTACAAATTCAATATAAGTATATTAATTTTGTTAATTGTTTAGTTCGTGCTGCTGATGGAGATAAAGGAATCAATAATAAAGTTACCTACAGTATCACTCAAGGACCAAGATATCTTTTCGACATAGATGCCACTTCTGGTCTGGTTTTTACAAGAGCTCAACTCGATAGAGAATCCGAAGAGAATATCGAAGGTACGTTCGTTTTGGAAATAACAGTGAAGGAAGTCTCAAGGATAATTCCACCACCGTCGGTATCGACGGAGGTAACAGTGATTTTGACTGATGTTAACGACGAAACACCAACCTTTCGAAGCTCGTATTACCGAGCTGAGATAAGCGAGAATTCACCACAAAATACTCCGGTCAATTTTATTGGCGATGCTATACCTGAAGTTTATGATCACGACTTGGTAAGTAAGAGAAATTTCAATTAATGAAAAATAAAGTTACGACTAAAATTATTCTTTATATTTGGAATTTAAAATAAATTTTATATTAGGGAACAAATGGCACGTTTCAAATGTTCATTGAAGGAGATAATGGTATATTCGATGTAACACCTTCGAAAGGTATTAACGAGGCACCGTTTATAATTAGAGTAAAAAATTCAAACGAGCTTGATTTCGAAAAAAGATCAGGTATTAAAAGAACATAAATATCTATAATTAAATACATGATAATTCACTGCTATTTCTTCGATACTAATATTGTTAATAATTGCAATTTATTCATATTATTTTTACCTTAAAAATTATTTCGGTAATCTGAATTACTAAATATTTAATTATTTTTTTAAAGTGGTTAATTTTACTCTGGTCGCCAAAGAAATCGTATCGTATGCCCCTAAATATAGTGCTGTGCCAGTGACAATTTTCATAACTGATCAAAATGACAATTATCCTGAATTTACAAAAAATATTTACGAAGTCTTCATCGAAGAAAATTGTCCAGTTGGCAGTACGGTTGCATGGGTTCAAGCTTTGGATGAAGACAGTGGGGCTTTCGGGTCACATGGGATTAGATATACAAATTTAGGCGGTAGTATTGCGCACGCGTAAGTAAATATTTGAGAAAAAAATTATACAAAATTTAAAAAAAAATTATAATTTAGTGATGAAATTTAACAGGGAACTTGGACATGAAAGAAGTAGAACTATGTTTGATTTAGTTGGACGTTTCGTCCCTTTATTGGGACTTCTTCAGCAACTTAATCTTTACAGTTCAGCGTCTTTTTTCATTAAGTAGACATACATTTTTCTTTTTATTATTAATATTCAAAACACAAAACATCTAAACTTCGTTAAATTGATCGTTATTATTTAAGTTTTGTTGAGGAACTTAAATAATAACGATCAATTTAACGAAGTTTAGATGTTTTGTGTTTTGAATATTAATAATAAAAAGAAAAATGTATGTCTACTTAATGAAAAAAGACGCTGAACTGTAAAGATTAAGTTGCTGAAGAAGTCCCAATAAAGGGACGAAACGTCCAACTAAATCAAACATAGTTCTACTTCTTTCATGTCCAAGTTCCCTGTTAAATTTCATCATTAAAAATTGTAATTTTTGGACGAGAGAAATACTAAATAAATTATAATTTAGTTTCAATATAAAAATCTATCGTTCGACTTTAGATTGATATTAGATCCAATAAGTGGAGTGATTACAGTTAAGCAAACTGGGCCCAGTTTTGATCGGGAATTAGTTTCTCGACATTATTTAACAATTGAAGCAAGAGATGATCTCGGAAAGGGTAATCGTAATACTGCTCAATTGATTGTTAATATCAACGATGTAAACGACAATGCACCAGTTTTCTTACTAAACAAGTACGAGGCTGTACTTTTAGAAAATGAAGATCATTTTGAAGCTCCATTGGTCGTAGAAGCTTACGACATAGATTTAAATGGTTAGATTAATAATAACATAAAATTAATCATCAATAAATATTGTATTATAGAATTAACCTAATAAACTTTATTTTCATTGATTACTGCAGGTACGAAGAACAGCGACATAATTTATGCTTTGATATCCAGTGAATTTTCGAAGAACTTTACGATAGATTCGAAACGTGGTATAATAAGTCTGGTCAGTCCATTAGACTTCGAAGCGTTGCCTATTAATCAAGGCCACATGGAAACGTCAGTGAGGCACTTGAAATTAACGGTGAGAGCTCGAGACATGGGAACCCCTAGTTTGAGTTCTGACGCACCTGTTATTATTTATCTCAAGGACGTTAATGACAATCCACCTATATTCGAGAGGGCATTGTATAAAAGAAGTATACCGGAAGATTTGGAAGGTGGAACTAGCGTTTTACAGGCAAGCGATTATTTTTGCGAAATTTTACATATAAATACATTGTTTCAAATAAAACAAATTATGAAGCATGGTGTTTTAATAAACGATCATATATAACTAGGTGAGAGCTTGGGACAAAGACTTGTCTTCGCCAAATAACAAAATAGTTTATCGTATTCAAAGTGGTGCCGGTGACAAGTTCGTGATTGGTCCGGAAACAGGTGTGATTAGGGTAGCATCTGGTTCTAATTTGGACCCTGATTTAACGTCACCCAAAACTACGAGATATAGTTTAAATGTGGTGGCTATCGACAGTGGAACAGAAATACAAAGAACTGCTGAGGTTCTCGTTAATATATCTATTGTCGATGTGAATAATAAACCTCCGGTATTCATCGATCCTGGTACAGTTACTATCCGAGAAAACACGCAAGTGAGTTGAATCGCTGAATCTCCAAATAATATATGATGACAATCGAGAATTCTATTCGCCTTTATAACTTCCTGTATTATTTTATTAAAAATCTTGTCCTTAGCGAATTGTTTCTTCATTTAAAGTAATATTGATGTCCTGTCAGGTAGGAGCTTACGTACATCGGGTTGTCGCTAACGATCCAGACATCGCACCGACTTTACGTTATCGAGTCGATCACAATTCGTCCGAGGCACGAAACGAAGAAGGTACTTTGATCAAAATCCAAGAATACGATTATTTGGCAGCCTTGGAATTAAATGCGATCGATGGTTTGCTAAGAGTGGTCAAACTTTTGGACAGGGAACGAGTCGAAACGATAAGACTCGGTTTGGTCGTAGAAGATTTGGCAGCTGTTAGAGGACTACAAACTGCATCCGGTTTGTTAAATAACAAAGCTTAACATTATATTATTATTTGCAAATTTTTTTTAACATTATTCTATTAACCTTTATTCCAGCTGTATTAAATATAATCATCGAAGACGAAAACGATAACAATCCAAAATTTCGAAGACCATTTTACAGACGATCGGTTACAGAAAATAGTAAAAATGGTGTTAACATAGCTAGTATTGTTGCTGATGATGCTGATAAAAATCGCAGTATCACGTATTCCTTAGAAAGCCCGAAGGAATTAACTGATCTTATTCATTTGGATCCTGAAACTGGTGAAATGGTTGTTGCGAATAAAATCGATCGAGAATTGTATCCATGGCTTAATCTTACCGTCCGAGCTACTGATTCAGGAATACCACCTAGGTACACAAAATATTTAGTTCCTTTGAACATAGATACACATACACATAAATTTAAATAATTATTTTAAAATATGTTCTTATATGATTCACTTAGATCGAGCTTGTCGGAAGTATACGTTCAAGTTCTGGACGAGAATGATAATAATCCATACTTCGTAACAGAAATTAGTAACCTAACTGCAACGGAGAATTCCAAAATTGGTACTGAAATTGCAGTAATTCAAGCGAGAGATCCTGATAACGGTGATTATGGGAAAATTACATATCTTCTAGACCGAATGTCGTCTCAGGTGAACGTTTAAACTATGTTAAACTGATCGCATGTGCTAAAAAATATCTCTTTTCATATTAAAAATAATAATTACTATACTTATACGTAGGGTACATTTGCCATTCATCCAGAAACAGGAGCTTTAACGGTTGCTGATACGCTCGATTGGGAATCTAGGCATAATTATGTTCTAGTCATAGAAGCTTGGGATAATTATCAATTTGGTTACACCGCTGGGGAATCGAGAAATGCTTTTAAACAAATTCAGTATGTTATCGGAGTTTAATTATTTATCAATTAGATTTTCTCTAATGAAATTTGATTAAGAATATTATTATTTTAATTTCTTTTGAGAATTATTTCACATTAAAAATAATTTTCTGTTAATTCTGTAATAAATGTAACGTGTGTATCTATTATATTTAGTTATTTCATATTATTTATTATTTATTTTATATGCGTGTAATTAAAAGATGACGTTCTTTGGGTTAATAATGTCAATCATTGTACTCAGAGTAACCATAATCGATGTGAACGATAATCCTCCGAAAATTGAGATACCTCAAGAATGTGTCAGTATATCGGAATTTCACGATATTCGGGATTCCATAGTGGTTGCAAAGGCTCAAGATGCTGATGATCCTACAACTCCCAATGGACGTGTAATCATTAGAATATTATCTGGCAATGAAATGGGTTGGTTTTTACTTAAAGAAATATAATAATGAAACGTGATAGAAAAAACGTTTTGCGAAATATGAACTTTTGAAATAATATTACTAAGTTTACTCTTAGGGAAGTTGTTTTTTGGACGGGTTTAATTAAGATGAACACTATATTTATCCGTTGAACGTTTCGTCTCTATTTGAGACTTCCTCAGCAACTTGATAGTTATGTTCATAAGTCAATATAACATCATTTTTATTACAGTCATAAGTTTTCACTATCTTATAAATAGAGTCAATTTTTAATTAAGTAGTGTTCGAAAAGTTATAGTAGAATAACGTTTTTTTTCAAGTTACTGAGGAAGTCTCAAATAGAGACGAAACGTTCAACGGATAAATATAGTGTTCATCTTAATTAAACCCGTCCAAAAAACAACTTCCYTAAGAGTAAACTYAGTAATAATATTAATAAATTTTGGATAAGAAAAAAAAATCTTGATTATATTAACATTTTGAAATAATTTTTTTTCCTTAGGTTTGTTCATGCTCGAACAAGTAGATTATTGGACAGCACGGATTAAGGCTGTTCGAAGTTTGAGAGGAAAGTTTGGCAATTATTCATTGAAGTTGGAAGCTCACGATCTCGGAGTTCCAAGTAACAAGGAGACAGCTATCTTAGATATTTGCGTGACAGACTACAATGACAATCCACCAATATTTATCAGTCCGCAACATAACACAACTATTCGCGTAGCTGAAGTAAATATTAATTTTTTACTTTCATATATAATCAAATTCACACACAATTTTAAATTATTTTCTAATTATTGAAAAAATCTGTAATCTTTTAAGAACGTGACGGTAGGGACACCGATAATTCAAATAGTCGCAGAAGATGCTGACACTGGACCAAACGGAGACGTTCATTTTCGTTTAAAACAGGATCTTGCTGGACATTGGAGAACTTTTCACATTGACGATAGAACTGGTGTTATATCTTTAAAACTTCCATTAGATAGGGAACTTCAAAGATTATATGAAGTACGTATAAGAATTTAAATTATCAAATTTTAATTATATTTTAACGAGAGATAAACATGTATTAAATTAATTTAAAATATAAATGAAATGTTATATGTATTGTTCTTAGATACGTGTTGAAGCTTATGATTTAGGAACACCGACACCGTTAAGTTCTGACCTGGATTTAATAATTTACGTTCGAAATATAAACGATTACGAGCCTCAATTTTTGGTTGACGTATTCAACGTTAATTTTACCGAAGAACAACCGCCGAGATCGGAAATGGTGATACTTCCGGAAACTATCGATAGGGACGAAGTCGATGATCTCGATGATCCACCAACGCAAGTTTGTTATTTTATAGTTGGTGGTAACGACGATGGATTATTTGCCTTGGACATTTATAAGCACGAACTTACTGTAAATACAAAATTTTCAATAAATTTTAATAGATTACTTACAAACAATAAACTTATGAATAAATTGATGCGTTTATTATCAGACTGAGAAAACATTAGATAGAGAAATTCAAACAAAACACACGTTAATAATAAAAGCTATCGAGGACTGCACGATCGTTCCAATAAACGAAACTGTTTTCGACGAGACTGATGACACACTGCTTAAAGTTATAGTTACGGTCGGTGATATCAACGACAATCCGCCAAAATTTGTAAATAAAGTGTTTACCGGAGGTGTTACCACCGAAGCTGACTTTGGTACACAATTTATGAATATTAAGGTATCACGAATTCTATTCATTTATAAATTACGTTCAACATTATATATTATATATTATTATTATTATTATTATTATTATTATTATTATTATTATTATTATTTAATTCATAATTTAATTAATAATTTATTGAACATACAGGCTATTGACTTGGACGCGGAAGAAAATGGAATTGTCTCTTATTATCAAGTTGGGAAAATGCATATGACATTAACCGAAGGTTTGGACGATATTCAAATTCAACCCTTTCTTGTTCACAAAAATTCTGGGGCGGTTAGTCTGAACTTTGACCCTCAAAGAGGGATGAAAGGCTACTTCGATTTTATGGTATAAATATTTCAAGAATTTTTAAACATCGATTAAATTTAAGAAACTCAATAGTATAAATACTTACATAATAGTAAACAATGTATTGTTTTTTAGGTTTTGGCTAACGATTCGCATGGATTAATGGACACAGCGAGAGTATTTATTTATTTATTACGAGAAGATCAAAGAGTTCGATTTGTTCTTCGTCAGCATCCACCTGAAATCCGGAACAGAATCGAAATGTTCCGACAGTAATTATTTTTTTTATAATTTGGAAATAAATAATTATAATAAGAAAACAAATATAATAATTAATATTTTATTCCTAGAACTTTGGGTAACGTAACCGGTGCGATTGTCAACGTGGACGAATACAAAATTCACGAAAATCAAGATGGTTCAGTTGATCGAACTAAAACGGATTTATATTTACACCTTGTAAATCGTCATGATAATTCGATTCTCGAGGTGTCTGAAGTATTGGAATTGGTCGATCGAAATATTGAAAAATTAGATAATCTTTTCAAAGAATTCAACGTATTGGATACACAACCAGCACAATCGCAGCCAATCGTTCAATACGAGCAGGCTGGCACGACGTTTTGGCTTTTGACATTGACTCTGTTTCTCGGAGCTCTTCTTATTTTATGCATCGCTTTGTGTCTTTCTCAGAGAGCATCGTTTCAAAGACAACTCAAAGCTGCTAATGCATCAACGTTTGGTATTAATTAACAATAAGTTGTTATTTATATATAATTTCTCGTTAAATTAGATTACACGTTATTCTTGTTAAAATTTTAATCCACGACTAATATCTTTTATAGGCACGTCGGATTCTGAATTCATTCGTGGTCCAGGACGTGTTCCTAACACAAACAAGCACAGCATGGAGGGTTCTAATCCAATTTGGATGCATGCATACGAAAATGAATGGTTTAAAAGCGACGAGTCCTACAGTCATACATCCGAAAGAGATTCTTTGGATGAAAATGCTCTTAATAATGAAGAGATGATGAATGAAGTTAATATTGAACAAAGAAACGAAGATAAACCTTATTATATCGAGCCAAGAATATCTTCGGTGTCTAGGTAATATATATTTTTTTATTTTTCCAAAATAATTCTTACGTGAGCTGGTATATAATGAGTTAAACATTTGCTAAACTCATTTAATTTTTCTTTTTTTAGCTCGGAAACTGTAACAGAAGCCACGACTGAGTTTAACAGGAAATCACCCCCCCTATTTCGAGGGTCGATGACTACCGTTAACCCTCTCGGAAAAAAAATTGAAACGACAGAGCTTTAAGCGGTTTTAAGTTAATTCGTATCGATTGAACGAAGAAGAATTTATAGAAACTATGGAACATCTATCGATATCAGTTGCCTACGTACAAATGAAATAAAGCAAACCACTGCTGGCATAGTTATAATATTATACTTTTTATGTAAATACCAAAGTACATTAAAATAACTGATAGATAGGCATAGAGATTATTTATTTATCTAATGTAAGTTAACAACGTATACTCGAAATATATAGCATTTATTTATTGCCAAAATAATTTATTTAATCTCATATTATATTCGTCTAATATCAATTTACTCGAGATATTGTTTATTAATAATTAATGAATTCATTCGCATAAATAAAAGACATAAATTTGATTTGGTATCGTTTGAAAAATTGAAATGAAAATTTGTAATTTGAATCAAACGATTGAGAAACAATTAATTAATTCGTACAGAAAAAAAAATTGTCCAGTATAAGAAAGAAAAATTTTTATACTTTAAATATCTTTGTAATTTGAATAGCGACGAATAAAAGAAAGTACAAGCAAACAATAATTCTCTCTTTCTCATTTATTATCGCAAAGAATGTTCTCCTGACATTTTGAATTTATTATCACAATACGCAAAGAATAGCCGAAATATTCTCGACGCTCGGATATTATCAGATGGTGAAAAGGTTTCGGACAAAGGAAGAATCCATTATTTAAATGCAAATCGAGCGTACGTTCGTACGTTGGAACGTACCGCTGACCTCGATGGGTCAGTCACACTCCGGAGACCCTTTCACCCTTACGTAGTTTTCAGCTTGTTGGCTAATGCGAGACTTTCCCACTTAACATCTAACCCTTACCTCTCTCTCGCACGCTATCTTACAATTAACCCCAACCGAGACTGAATTTTAATTTCACACCGTTAGAAAAGCTGGAGATGAGATAGATAAAAGGTCAAGTGCTTTGTTGCTTTTAATTACTAACTATCATATATTCATATTGATTTTATCGAGTTTCTTAAATATTTTAAATTATACAATCACGTGTTCCAATTATTTGACGACGAATATTGAAATCATTGTGTATATTAATTTTTTTTACAAAATGAATTCGTACTATTATCCTAAAATAATATCATTTTTTCTCGACAGACATAGAACAACTAAAAAAAAAGAAAAAGTAATAACTTTTCAATCGTTCCTTAGTACATACATCGCAATCTTGCCTAGTCACCATTTCGATTTTCTCAAGTCAATAATGGCTTGGATGTTAATCGAGAATAAAACGAATTTTGTGAATGACTCGAGGCGAACGCACAGTGGTCGAACCAGCGCGGCTTACTTGAAAGTCCAGGTAGTCCAGGTAACGGCCGGCTATTCTCTTATCGTTTTCCTGAACGTCAGCTTCGCGTGCAATCTTATGCTAATCCAAGCAAGTATATAAGCTACTATTGGTCAGTACTTGACTTCATCCCCTCGAGTATCCCCTCCCATTGGAACCTTCCTAGACCGACTGAACCTATCAACATAGTAGCCCCTTGTCGGCTAACCCTCGCACTTCAGTGCCGTATCTATTCCGATCGTTGTTATCAACGAGATGAAATTTAACGCTCACAAATTTTTTTCAAAGTTATCTTGATTTCATTCTTTTAACGTAGGCACGCTCGGTCGAACGTCTTTCGAATACTTTTTTCCCTTAAAAAATCCGTTTTACCTGATTAATTATTCTTTTCTAATGATGCTTTATCACGAATAAAATACTTTCTTCTTTATCTTATTTTATCCTATAACATATGTTTATCATTTGTTTCCTATTTATGATTTAATGAAACGAATTTAACTTCGAGGAGATAAGAACTTTTATACGATTACTTTGATGAAACTTATAAAACTGAACATAATTCAAAATGACATATGTCTGACATTTATAGTTATGATCTACCACCCCCACACATTGATTTATAAGTATACGTACCCTTTTACAAAACCCTTTATTATCTCTATAATAGATGCAGTTCATTCACCCTGGGTGATACCTTAGAAGGAGCCGATACTGCGTACAGTCCTATGACACTTGCAACGATGCATTTGTTTTACGCGTGATTTGCATGCGCCAGTCTTTTGCGTATCGTTCACTCGACACGCAATAGCGGATCACTTTGGCGGCCTCATTCCATCGGATACCAAACTGGCCAAATGTTTTTCTTTTATGTTATATAATTTCTATAAAATAAATTATTAAATACATCGGAAAAGGTTCTATTTTACGTCAAAAATGAGGATTGGTTGTCAGAAGATATTCTATTTTATATATTTATATTATAATTTTATAAATAAAATAAAAAAAAATTTGTAAGATTTCCATATATAAATTAAAAAATACTAAACGTTTTTGACGTGTTCAAAGTAGTACGAATCATTTCATTAATCTAACAATTGTTATTAAACTACGAATTATTTTTCGATTCATTACTACTATGTAATAGACGAATTAAATTCGGTTCTTTCCCCACAGAAAAGAGGCAGACTCTTTAACGACTTCTTTGCAAACAAATCACATCGCCCTCCATTAACGAACCCTCCTGATTGGGGCCCTGACTTATCGAGCTCTGACTCATGGTATCAGAACAATAGTTTGTGTGTAGTCGCTTTACTTATAATACTTACGATAGATCGAGTATATTTGCAGAGGAATATTAATTGTTATTTTAACAAAATTCTTCCACGTTATTATATACCCACAAGCATAACTAACACGTATAAGATATGTGATATAATTTGAATTATATATATATATAATACGATATAATATTCTATATTATTTTATTCTTGTTATGCTTGTTTTAAGCAAATTTTATAAAAGAAAAAATGACGTTCAACATATATTATACACAAATAGATAATTATTCTAGTTTCTTTTAATAATGTTCAACATTTGCAAAATGGAAATGATAGAAACTCGTAAAAAAAAAAAAATCGTAAGAAGAAAGAACGTAGAAGCGCGAATAAATGAAATGTAGGTCAATTCTGACTCACATAGAACGCATACTCGAATGCCTTCACAATAGGGTTACCATAAATCCTCCTATCGAAGATCAGTCATCATCTAACAAAGGGGTGGTTGCACCCTCGAGTGGCTTACCGAGTTTCTTTTGGTGGGGAGGAATTGTTCGCGACGCGATGTACACGTGACAACGGTCGTCGTGTCGGCGTCGGCGTCGAAGGGGTTAAACGACAAGACTCGCTACCCCTATGAAAGCTTTCCACATGCACACCGTTAACGGCCACGTGAGGTGTGTTTCTTGCGCGATCCCCGAAAATGTCGACCCTCGATCACGGTTGAACAAAACTTACGCGCCAAAAAGAATCGTTCCGAAAAACGTCGAGTGGCCAATGAAAATTCATTCGTTTCACTGAATGAATTTTATTTTTGAGTGAATTTCATGAAAAATGAATTTACTATTTTAGAGAAAATAAGTGAAATAGATTAGGTAGAAAAAGAAAAAGTGGATGAGTTGTTTAATATGTGGAACATGTAAAAATATGCGTTGTTCGTGGACTCTGACATCCTGAATGATATTATTATCAGGTAAAGAATTTTTTTCTTTCTCTTTATTTCTTTTTTAATTTTTTTTTCTATAAGATTCTTTTAGGCAATTAGCAAGATATAAATTTTGTCACGTAAATTTTATTTACGCGTGCAAATGATTTAGCTGTATTGTATTTGTAATTATATTTGATTGGATTTAAAAAATTACAAATTTTTAATCGATTACTCAACAAATGTTTTACTACGTTTATTGACTAAATCGTTTGCCATTACTTTTAATGTTATTTCGACGATTAGAAACATGCTTCGTGGTACATCGACAGGCCGATACGAGGCTACATCCATCACCAGCGAAGATATTTGATCGCCCCACATTTTACGACGCGTCGACTGTTGACTTTTTAATAATTGCATTCAACGCTATCAAATCTTGACTCTTTTAGTATTTAATTAAAAAGAAAAAATGTTCATCTTCATTTTTAAACAATAAAAAATCGATCTACGATATTTTTTCAAATAAATTTTAATTCGTATTTTTATATGTTTTGATCGTTTAAACGATTGGAAAAAACTCATTGAAGAATCGAACAAAATTAATTTCTTATCTGATAAATCTTTGTTCAACAAGTTTAGAGGAATGTTATAGTCGTGTTTAAAGACATTTACAAAGCAGTCACGTTCTCACATTGATTAATAATGCATAGTCATTCTAGTTGTAGAAGATCCAACTAAAACGTACATTATATGTATAACTAATGAATATTTATATATCGACTCAAACCACTATGTATAATAGTATGTAAACCATCGTCGGTGCGTAATAAAAATAGAGGAAAAAAGGAAACTGGCATCGATCGGAGTCTACTGGACACTGACCGGTAAAAGTCCATTGAAGTATTTTATTATACACGTTATTCGATGTAAACTTCCGGTTGAAACTCAGCAATTTTAATTATTATAAAAAGAAATTATTAAATTTCAATAACACTCGAAATTAAAATGATTTTTTTAATTTTTAAATTTTACGATTCTATCCTGATTTCTAATTTCTTTAAAATGAAATCAAATATAGTTTTAATTAGATAAAAAATTAAAAAATAAAACAAATTATCTATCCTTTACGTTATCTTAAATGTAAAATACATACACTTTAATATATAAATTTTGCCATAGAAATAAAAATACATAGCCTAAACTTTCTACAAAATAATTTATACTCTTAAAATACTCTATATGCCTTATAATGTCCACTGAAGTGTAACTCGATTGTCGTGTTCGATAGGAACGGTCGATGACCCACATCCAAATTATTTTTCCATAACAATTACATATACGCACACCATATTAAATCCACATATATAAGAGACAAAAAAAAATAACTACTTTATCATGGTTCAATAAAACTGCTATATAGTCCCACGTGTAAATCACACGAGGTGAGATATACATAGTATACAGTTTGCTTTAAGAACAGGTGTTTAAGTGACAAGCAATTTTAACGAATAAAGTGCAAAGCAAACCGTAAATCGTTGCTTGAATTTATTATAAAACGATTATCATTATTATCGTCGATTATTGTGGCAAATAATAATGATCTATTTATAAAGTAGTTCTTTCGCGGTACAATGAAAAGAAAAAAAAAGTAATTGTAATAAAAAGTAAAGTAAGGATGGTGAATGAAAAACATTAGATAGTGACAACTTCGTAGAGATGTATGTAATGATTAGATACGACCTCATTTTACGTTGACAAAATCGATAATCATATTGTTATCAACTAGAATCATTTGTTCTATATATATAAATCATTTTTTTTAAATATATCGAAACGTATATATGTTTATTAATTTATATCGATGAAGTTGTTTCAAAAATAATTAGATACTATTAAAATACAATGAAATTTCTTTACGAAGCTATTGTTTTTCTATTTTCACCTATACCATCGGTAGTTTATTAGCGAGTATCAATTATAGATATTATGTAAAAGCAGTCATTTGTTCGATCGTTCAACGATCGATATATTTCGTCGAGTGTGTGTGGGTGTTCTTAGAAATTGGAAACTACGATGAGTCGTAAAATATGTATTCTTTATTTTCATGAGGAATTCATTCAACTAATATTCAATATTTTAATCATAAAGATTAGTCATGGAAAAAAATAAGAATACTATTTTTTTTGTAAAGAATAGATTTAGAGAAAATTTCGAAAAACTTCGACTAACAATTAGAAAAACGATTAGCAAATTAAAGGTTTAACAAAAAATAAAAACCATCAAGGCTTGCCCTATCACGCATCCAAGTAATGAGTGAAGACCACTAACTCATGTAAATAATTAGTGTATTCGATAAAGTGGAACAACGACTATCGGACGGCCGAAAGACTTCGCGAATGTTTCTCGATTCTTCTAATATTTAAAGAACAAACAGGAAGTTCAACGTAACGGGTTATCGATTTTTACTTTGAACCCACTTGTCATCAATTACGAAAGAACTTAGAACATAATATACGTTTACGAATGATTATTTCTATTTGTTGTAATAATGAAATATTGAAGAATTTTTATAAATCAATAATTATTTTTGTTTATATCGATGCAATTTTAATTATTTTCTTTTACGAAGTATATATTTGTATGATTGTTTTTTTGTAGAATGCCCCTTGCAGGAGCATGGTTTAAAATATGGATTTATTTGGGTTTGATCTTTGGATGGACAATGGGTGCACGACCAAGATTCGATACTTCCACGGATATGGGATTGGTTTTGATTCCAGCAGATGCGGAAGTTGATTCGGTTATATTTCGATTACGAGCTACCGATCAGGATGCTGATTTTCCTCTTATTTTTGAAATAACTGGTAATTATTAACCTACATTTGTCGTAATTTTATAGTAAGATTTTAATCGAATTATCCGAAGTACTATTGAAACTCAAACAATTCTACCAAACGTAATCTTTTTACCTTTGTATAGTTTTCTTATTCCCAGTTAAAAAAGTTACTCAAAGTAAAGAAAAAAAGTTACTCGCTAATATACCGCTTTTGTATTTACCATTGCAGCAACAATTACACCGGTTGTGAGAATTGACAATCTGCCATGTACGCTCTATAATAAAGTGTGCCAGGCTAATGTAATTCTAACGAAACGTCTAATACCTGGCCGTCTTCATGATTTCGCTGTAAGGGTTAAAGACTCTAAGGGTGATTCGAATTCGATGCAAGCAACCATTTCTGTCACGAATGCGACCACTCAACGCGATAAAATATTCCCGCACATTCCTTCTCTGATAATGGTACCCGAGGTAATACTTAATTGTATTTGCAAATATCGATGGCTTTACATTGAAATTTAATTGTGTACTTTTCATTATTGCGATCCCTTTACCAATTAATTTTTATTCGATATTTCTTCGTATATTCTTTTTAATTACATTGATTAAAAAATTGTAAGTTCATTAGCGATTGATTGACAGTTTATTATTGTTGATTATACATTTTTAAGGACACTAAACCTGGAAAGGAATTAGATTATTTATTAGTTCGAGCAAATCCCTGGAGTGGTAAGCCAGTTTACATCGAATTATGGGTGAGTTTGGTCAACATTTTTACTTCGTATAAATAGCAGCAAGAAAAGATAAACATTTTTCTTTTTCTTAACACTTTTTAGCAACCGAAAGAATTGTTTACGATCAGACAACGACAAACACCATCGCAAACTCGAGGAGTTATTACATTAATCGGAGAATTGGATTTCGAAACTCAATCCATGTATACTCTCACAATGTACGCGACGGTGGGTTTACTCATCTTTTTATCTTCGATAGAATTATTTTCAATCTAAGCGATTTCATTGTTTAGGATCCTTACACAGAACCTGGAAAGGATACAAGAAATATCGCTGGTTTGAACGTTGTTATTGTAGTTCAAGATGTTCAGGATGTTCCACCGATTTTTACTTTGGCACCTCCTTTAACGAGACTCAACAATTCTGTACAACCCGTAAGAATTTCAATTATACTATTTCTCTTTCTGTAATACTTTATTTTATTTAAATGAAATAATTATTAGATATAATTGGAACATATGTAAGCCATTATAATTTTTTTTGAGTAATATAAACTTCATTAAAATGCTAATTAATCTCTATATTTATGTTAAATTCTAAGTTCTATTTTATATTAAAAAAATAAAATTCGATCAACCTTCCGTGAGTGAATTGTTTATATCATCGATACATAAGAAAAAATATTTCTATCTTTTTTTAGGGGGATGTAATATTACGAGTTCATGCAGAAGATGGAGATAAGGGCGTTCCTCGAGAAATCGCATACGGTCTCGTGTCAGAGGGCAATCCTTTCACACCGTTTTTTAATATCTCAGAAACGACAGGTGAGTAAACATAAAGACGAGTTTCTTATTTAAAATAAAAGATTCTTTTAAAAGCATGCAAGAATAAGAACATACAAGAAAATTTATATATTTTTTGCTAACTTAATCGCCATAATTCTGCATGGAATGACCTAAAATTACCTTCATTATGATTCGTCTTACTTCTATTTCCTATTTTCTACTTGCTATTTGTACTACTTATTTCGACTTCGTGAAAGAAGAAGTCGAGATCTCTTTTTGAGATAGTACGTTTTTATAAAGATTACCATGAGTTAAGATTGATTTGAAAGATAAAGATCCTTCTAACACAAATTCAAATGGTTTTCTTTTTTTTTTTTCAAAGCATCTCATAAAACGACTATTACGAAGGAAATAAATTTACAGCTGTAAAAAGTCATTCGGAAGATCGATATTTGCAAAAGAGAAATCTACTTAACGTCTTGGTCACCATTGTTCGAAAAAACCGAATGACGTCTTTAATTTATGTCCAGCACACATTACTGACCCCGTTTCAGCGAAAACCTTTCGACAATGACTAAAGACGTAAATTAATTGTCCGCGAGATCGATGATTTCAATATATTTTTATTTTTACTTTTTTTTTTCTTTATTTTATTTCTCTTCACTATCCTCCGTTGTTATCTCTCCGACAATGATTCATCGCTTTTCATGCATGAGACAGAATCGAAAAGAGAAAGGAAAATTACGCGCGTAATTTCTCGGTGATAGATAAAACGGATCGATGTTCGTCGACATCCAGAGTATATTTGCGTTTAAGGTATGAAAACTAAATGTGTTTCTCTTATATCGCGAAGTCTTCAATGAAATAATACTTTTTTTTTCGCAATAACAAAAAGTGAAAAGAAAAAAATGTTTGGAATTAAATATTTAAGCAGAGAATAATTGTCAAATATACCGTAAATAAATTAACGAATAAAGTAGAGTAAATGAGTACATTAAATCAAGTTAAGCGTGCGTGTATACTATATAACTAGGAAGTGTAGTGATATACTACGACTGTTACTACTATGAATGAATTATCGTCGATATTACGAATTAGTGCTCGAGATTTGTAATTTGCGTGCCATTTTACTTTCTCTTATCATTTTTTAAAAGAAAGGAATATAAAATACGTCCGAAAGGCTTATTTCTTATCCGAGGTCATCAAGGTATTTGAATTTTTCGTCGGATGACCGAATGAGTCATATTCGAGGTAAGAAGGCAAACGAAAAGAAGTGACCACAACGACTCTGGCCAGTTTTACAAGCGAAAGTATCGATCGCACGAAGGGTCACTCTCTGCTTTTCTGACTACGATGCTTATCTTTTCTTGGCAAGGAGCATGCGATATAATACATGTATTTGTATTCTTTATATACATACACGTATATGCATACACACATTGAAAGTTAACAATTTCTTGAGTCGATTTTGCCTGTTGTTACAATTGCCGTTGTCGTTATTTTATGTTTAAAGCCACGCGTTTCTGTTTTCCACCCTCTTTAAGTGTTTTATTTCAAATAAGACAGAAATAAGGGACACGCATTAAAACGACAATTACTCTTACTGCGTTACAAATTTCATGTCGAGGAAGAATAAATTGCAAAGCTGGAAATTGCATATTAATCACACAAAAATAATACAATTTATATATAAAATTATATTTTAAATTAAAATATTAGAATATTAATTGGAATTGTAATTATTAAATATACTTAGTATTATTTACATATGATAATATAAATTATAATATAAAATATTTTAATTGTTTTAAACTTATATTTCACTTTCATAATTGTTGACATAAATGTGTATAAAATATTAAACAGATAGTTATTACACTATTATTATTGGGCTCAACTTTTGAAACTTCGAAACAGGTAATATGAATCCTATAGTCATCACTTATAGGAAAAAGTTTTGTACTTTTCAACTATAGTCGTTCCGTTTTATACAACGAATGGAAACTATGATTATGCCAAAATAAACCTGTTCAAAGAATATAAAATCAGACCATATATGAGCTCAAATATCGATTATCTTGATATTAGCTTTTAATGTTTAGAAAAAGAATAATAAAATAAGGGAACTCGTTTCATTAATGATGTACTTCCTCTTTTAGGAGAAATCGTTTTAGCTAGACCGTTGGAAGAACTAACACAAATCACTCACGTCGGTGCACCTGTCGTGCTCAGCGTCGTCGCGGAAGAAATAAGAAGGACCAGAGAGGAACCACCTGCACAGGCAACAGTCGTTGAAGTTGGACTTTTGCTTGGGGAACCAGGAAATAGTCCGCCCTATTTCGAAAGTGACACGTTAGTTTTCCAAAAATATTAAAAATATTATGCGAACGAGATTTATGTTTCTTATAATTTATCTTTCATCAATGAGAATAAATTTAAAAATATTTTTAAAAATTATTGTATTAAGTTTTGATGCAAAAATAATATTTTATTATTTAAATAATTATTTATATTTTATGTCCACAATATTTTTTATAAATATATTCGCAGTTATGTTACGGTGATAGACGAAAACTTAGAACCGGGAACTATAATTATTTTTGGCGATCAATATTCGACGAGAGTGCGGGATGAAGATATCGGTAAAGCTGGTGTATTCGCTCTCAAGTTAGAAAATAATAATGGCACTTTTGAGATTAATCCTACCGTTGCTGAACGTACTGCGAGTTTCACTATTACGGTTCGAGATAATACGCTTATCGATTATGAAACGTACAAGAGCTTGATCTTCAAGGTAAATCTACTTTCTCTCAATGTTAGTTATTTATAAAATAATAATTAAGACATTATTTAAATTAAATTTTATTCTAGATTGTCGCTCAAGAAGTTGGCCCAGCAACAAATTTATCTACATCCGTACCAGTGACGATTTATTTAAGAGATATCAATGATAATCCACCGGTTTTCGAACAGGATTCTTACGAAGTGACACTTTCGGAAAATGTAACAGCCGGTACACGTGTTGTGCAGGTAATAAATTGATTGCAGATAAAAATGAAAAAAAAAAATACGACTTTAATAAAAGTAGAATTTTGTTTTAAAAAGGTACACGCTACCGATAAAGATACAGGAGATTTCGGTAACATACAATACACTCGGATAATCGGACAAGGAAGTGAAGCGTTCACAATGGATCCAGATAGAGGATTGATAACAGTAGCGATGGGATCTTCTTTGGATCGTGAGATTGCACCTAGATTGGAATTATCTATCGAAGCACGAGATGAAAATGGCCAAGGCAATCGTGGTGTTGTTCCTTTAATAGTAAATTTACTCGATGTGAATGATAACGTACCGATATTCGAAAAAAGTATTTACATGTTCTTTTTGAATTCTGATTTGACCAATTTCACATCACCCGCTGTGATCAAGGTATCTGAATATCTATATCATTTCATTTTATTTATTTGTACAAATTTGTACACTATAATAATTAAAGAATTGTGTTTATATTATTCAGGCTACAGACGCGGATGCTGAGCCACCGAATAACGTGATCAGATATGAAATAATTCACGGAAATTACGAGAATAAATTTTATCTTAATGAAATCACAGGTGAATTGATTTTACGATCACCAATAACAAAAGTTCGAAGAAAGAAACAAAGTGCTGCAGAGAAATTAGCTAGCAAATCACAAAAAGAGTTACATCGAGATGATATGAAAGAATCGATGTTAAGAACGATAACCACAACGGCAACTAATCTAAGAATGTCAAGATTATTCAAGAGGAGTCCTTTTAAGAATGAATTGTTAAAAAGTATTCGAAGAAAACGAGCTGACGATGATAATGCTCTGTACACGTTAACAGCTAGAGCATACGATCTTGGTAATTTTTAAATGTACATGAATATTTTCATATAAGTACCTATAATAAAATAAGAAATATTATTTTTTTCTTCAAATATATGTTAAATTGTATATTTAATAATTGTCATAGGTGTACCACATTTGTCGAGTTTAACACAAATAAGAATAACGAGTGGTGGGGCAGTAGAGGATCGTATTGTCACATTCGTTTTACCAGAAGAACATCCAGATCCAATAAAAACTGCAAAAACACTGGCTACGATCACAGGAGCAAGAGTAACTGTTCAAGATATTCGTCCTTACGTTGCAACCAACGACACATCTAATATGCCAAGTGATGCTAAAAAGTTAGCTCTTAATAATTATTTTTAATATTTTTAAACAAACATGATAGAGAGTTTATCAACATCGTTTTTGATGAATAATTTTAGAAGTATCGTCGTTGCACGTGTAGAAAAAAGTACTTCCTTTGTCGACATAGAAAAAATTCGAGAAACTTTAGCGGCTAATGGAGTTGGGATAATAAATGCTTCAGTTATGATGCCTGATTCTACTGGAAAAACTACCACCACTAATATCACCAATACTGTTACCAATGTGCAAAACGAAGAAGTTATAGTGAGTATACTTAAAATTATGTTTAGTATAATATTTATTCTATTTTAAAATTATTATATTTGGATTTAATGTTATTAATTTGTATGAATTATTTTTACAAAAATTTATCTTTGTAATATTAACTCTTGTATATTTTTATTATTATATTATGATCAATTATATAAATTTTAAATTTCTAAAATTATAAATACTTCATATTTCCGAGAAATAAGAAGACAGGATTATGTTTCAGACGGTGTACAAAGCAGAGAATAAAATACTTTTTTGGTTGCTGATAATTCTGGGTTTATTGATGCTTCTTGCAATAGCTGCGTTGATTATCTGTTGTATTTGTCCTAGCTGTCCATTTTACATGGCACCTAGAAAACGTCGAGTCCAATCATCGGAAACTTTAATTGTCCGATCGGACGGAAGGCCAAAGAGACATCTTCATCGAAAACAACCTACGATCGTTCATGGTAACTAAATAAGAAGACATCAATCCGTACGAGTTCGTGAACTTTTCCAACAAGTTCACTTTGATTTATCTATTAAGACCAAAAATTATAAAATACGAGATAACTGTTCTATAATGATCGAGTGTGTTTGAATAATTATACTGCCACATATATAAATACATAAATAATAAGCAAATACTTTAGAAATACATAAGATTTATATCGAATTAATTCAAATGAAAGTTCCTGTTTGTTTAGAAATATTTGACAAGTGTGTGATCAATTGAATTATATATCGTATTTATATCAAATTTGTAATATCACAAACAACGATTGACAATGCGTGTATGACATAAATTTCGATCGATCGAAATAAGACATATTAAACTCATTCAGAAAAAGATCATTCTATATAATGTCAAACCACACACACAATCTTTTTTAAATAAAATAGAAAAAAATATTGAAATAAGAAAGAAAGCTTATACCTAAGATTATATGTTTCTAGTAACCAATAACCAGGAAAGGAAGCAAGCATGGAGTGCCGATCCAACCCGAAGAAACTGGCAATTCAATCGGCGGAACGTGAAAAATTGTGGCTTGGCTTCGTTACCAGGTGACGTAGCTTATGTTACCACGCATGCGAACGAAGGAAGAATGAACGTGGATTCCTCGAGAAAGCAACGAGATGATTTGATTTATGATACTACTGGAAGAATCACTGAGCAAGAACGAATGTACGTAGAAGATATTGAGAATATGAAAATGAGAGATTATCATATGGACGATGGTATAGAATCTTTGGAACGACATGAAATCGAACGTAGTCCTGATCATCCTCGACAGAGTTATAGATATGAACAAGAACAAGATACGAACGATGAGAGAACGGTTAGAGAGCAACATTTTTATCGTGAAGGTAATGCGGAAATTTTGCGATTAGTAACAAGAGGACAAGTCGAGGATAACGTGATTCAACATCGTGGTACAACAGTAATCGTAGACGGCAAAGATATTATCTTAAAAAGATTTATGGAAGATCAAAAAATGAGACAAGAAGCATCGATTCAAGATCTCGACGGTGCACGAAGTATGGAATCAGCTCAAAGAGTCCGAGAAACTACTCACCAGCAACCTGAGATTATTCTGATACCGCAATCCTTAAACATCGGTAATAACCAGCACGTGGATGAAAGTGGTCCAGGTGTTCAGAGATTACTTATCGATCATATCGATTACGAGGATACTCCTAAAGATAAAGTTACTCATATCTCGGACATACAAACCACCAGACAAGAATCTACAATTGTTGGTGGAGCTTCTGAAAGTACCGAGAGACCAACGATGCCAACCAAAGATAACGCACAACCCATTAATGTTCAATCTTATTCATACCATGACATGGAATTGGCACGGCAAAACGCCTTGCTGACTAGACTTTTATTGGAACGAGAAACTCGTGCAAGTGGACCTGCCATGATGGATTCTACGAGTTATTTGGAGACTCAAAGTTTACCTGGACAAGTAGCTATTGCAACTCAAACCGATAGGACTACCGCTACTCAAACAGAAAGACACGTTCGAAGTAGAAGTGACAATGATGAATCCGAAGACGAGTCGAGGATAAGAAAAAAAATGAAAACTAAAAAGAGATACGAGAGTGATTCGAAAAGGACTAGAACTTTATGGATGAAATCACCGATAGAAGAAGAAAGAAGTCCATGTTTCGATAAACGTTTGAGTATTCTTCGTAAGAAAGTAAAGGAGGTCAAAGATGGAAGAAAGATTTCTATAGAACCTGAAGTTCTCCGTGAAATATCTGACTCTTTAGACGACAACGGAAGTTCCGGCAAAGGAGACGATAAAGAGACGAAAACGTACGAACGATCGACAGAAGAAACCAGTATCAGATATGAAGTATTAAATGAAGAGGACAATGGTAGTCCTTCATCCACCGAAATCATCAAAGATAAATTCGACAATGTTTTCAATGAAAAAACTCATTATCGTGGACGCGATGATCAAAAAACTAAAATGACCGAATCAACTTCTTCTTCTACCGAACCCAAAGAAACAAGAGAAAAATATTCGGAAGAAGAAACAACCAGTCCGAAGAAGGAAACGAAAAAGAATCAGAAAAAAAGTGAAAGTAAACCTACTTTTCGAATATTGGAAAGGGAGATTACATTGTTGACGAAGAAACTCAGTAAACTAGGTGAAAAGAAGACTCAAGAAAGTGCAGGAAGTGGAAGTACGATTCAAGAAAAAACTACTACCAGTAGTATGAAAAAAAGTTCGAAGAAGGACGTAGATCAGAAGATGTCTAAAAGGAAAGAAGATTCTAGTAAGCATCGAACAAAGATCTCTACAGAACCGACTCCTAGCACTTCGAAAATTGTAGAAAAAGGAACGAATCAAAAAAAGGAAGGAACTGCAACTAAACTCAAACACAAGTTAAAGTATCAGCAAGCTCAAGTTACGAGTACTGGAAGCTCCGAAATAGAAGACACTCATGAAAGATCGAGAAAAGAGAGTTCTGAATCGAATAAAGAAAATGTTAAAAATAAGCAACTACCAGCAACTACTACGTTTCATTCTAAAATCAAAAGACAATCTCACGTTGAGGAAGAGAAAGACAATGTCATATCAAAGGATCAAGATAGCGAGAAACAAAAGGAATTTTCTAAAGAACGTTCGAAGTTTGATTCGAAGTTTGGGAAATTAGATAAATCGATAAGCCGCTTGCAAAAAGAAAGTTTATCGGAAGAGTTCAGCGCAAGTACTGGTTCGGATCAAATTGAAAGTAAAAAGGAGTTTGGTACTCGTCGAAATTTCGATAAGAGAACGAGTACAAGCTCTTCTGATAATTTTTCCAGACAATCGGGTCAACGAAAATCGAGAAAAATGCGGGTACATCAAACTACTAAAGTTTCCGATATTTCGTTAAAGGATACCCCAGAAAAGGAGGATGCCGACAAACACAAAACGAGCTCGGATGATAAAAATGTTAAAAAGAAATCGAAATTAATTAAAATGCATGCTGATGGAAAGAAGAAAATAACTACGGTTAAGAGTGATTTAGAAAGTACAGAAAACGATGATCGTGTGATATCATTGAAAGAAGCTTTGAAAGATTTTGTGGGTTTTGGACGTAACAAACGAGACACGAGCGAGGAGCAAACGTTTACCGATAATTTCGAAGAAATATCTAAGGAAACATCCTTACAGGATAAAGATAAAATCGAAGAAAGTGTAAAAAGTAAAGTAGAAGAAAAAACACTTGAAGATTTACTAAGAAATGATACCGTAGATCGTAGAGATAATGATAAAGAGGAAATAAAACAATCTGAAAATGATAAAAACCGAAATATTGAAATAAAAGATCTTCGAGATACAGATAAAGAGGAAATACAAAAACAATCTAAAAATGAAGACCAAGAGATTGAAATCACTGACGTTCCTTCCAAGGATATTGAAAAAGAAGCAATAACTAAAGTAAACGAAGATAGAAAAATTTTAGAAACACGTGAAGTCGGTAGTAAAAATTACGTCGATAAAAAGAAGACCGTAGAAGAATTTGTCGAAGAATTACAAAAAGAAATCTATATGTCTCATATATCAGATAAAGAAAAAAACGAGATTGCAAGTACTTCTAGTGTGCCCCCGATCGATAAGATCTTATCGGAAACTACAATAATTCCGAGTACGTCTATGAATATAATCCATGAAAAAGTATCTTTTCAAGATAACGTTGATAAAATTGATTCCAAGATTGAAACAGAAGTAACAAAAGAAAAAGATGAAATAACTAAGGAGAAAGATACCAAAGAATCTTTCGAAACTGAAAGAAAGGATGCTTCGTCTGTTAAAGATAGTAAACTAATTCCTATATCCGTAGATACCGAAAAAGATACAAAATCATTCGATCAATCTGCAAAGGAAGATAACGAGGCTACAAAACAATTATTTGAAATTACTAACAATGATTTACAAGTTACGAAGGATAATGGTAAAGTTAAAGAATCTGAAGATAAACCAAGTTCGTCTAAATCTGTGCAGGATAAAGATGAAAAGAAGGACGAGGAAAAAAATACTTTAACTGTAACGAAAGAACCAAGTTCTTCTATAGTTACGACAAAAATCATAGAAACGGCTTTAGAAATTACGAGTAAACGAAGTTCACCCCAAGAAAGTGACAAGGATGAAAAGTTTGAATTAAAGGAGACGGCTATCGAAAAAAGTGAAAAAGATCATGCACGTACAGGCTCTCTTGAAGTTGATAAAATTATAAAAAGTAATGGTAAGAGAGATTCGATAATTGTAAGTGCAGAAGTGTACGCTGAACAAATTATTGAACAATCTCCGGATAAAAATCAGGTTACTGATGAAAGTAAAGAAGTATTAAATATTGAAGAAGATAAAAATAAGGTCGATATATCTGTCTCTGAGAAAGATAAAAAAAATATTATTGAAGAATATCCGGTTAAAATATCGCCAGTAAAAGACGTTTCTGAGTATCATGAGATGAAAGACATAGAATTTACTCCTTACGAAGATAAACCCATGGAAGTTATTGAACAGAGTATTATAAATGTAGAAGAAAAGGATAGTACTGACAAGTCTCACGTAAAGACAGAAGAAATGACATTAAAAAAGGAGGAAGGAGAAGCAGTTTATAAAAGCGATAAAATTGAAATAAAAAAAGGTGAAAGTGATGAAGAGAAGCAAAAATTAAAGAGAACTTTAATCGAATTAGATCTAAAAGAACAGGAGAGTAAACCCACAGATAAAGAAACCGATAAAGAAGATGTTCATCCAGAAACTTTAAAAGATGATATAACAGATTTGACATCTCCGAAAGATTTCGAAACTCATGAAAAGGAAGAGTTAGAAAAAGTCCAAATTACAAGTATACCTTCGACTGAACCCGAAGTTTCAACATTAGCCGACACGAAAGATCGATTAACCAGCGAAGAAGAAAGAATAGAAATAAAAACGGTTGAGGAATTAAAGGATTCTACAGACGATAGATCGATTAGAGTGGAAAAACCATCGAAACCACCATCACCGATCCAAACACAAGAACCATCGGTCGTCCAAGAGAAATCCGAAATAAAAATTGAAACGATGAAAATCGATAAAGAAGAAAAAGAAAGTGGGCCAGCCGAGGTTACCAAAACTACGAAAGAATTAAAATTCGACGAGAAAACTCAGTTAGGAACAGACGATAAAGATTTTACCGAGAAGGAAACCTTAATCTTGTTGGGAGACAAAGGTGATCAAGGTAGTATAATTAAATTAGAGAAGGAAGAGGATCAAGAAGACAAAGAAGATTCGAGTAAACAAGATAAGTTTGTTGAAAGGCCAGATCAGAGGAGTTTGCAACCAGGAGAGGAGTTTACAAAAGAAGGACTTCAAACAAGGACGGAGGAATACGAAAACGTAAGCCCAACCATTTTTACGAGCATTATCGATACTCTGGAAGATTCTGATGAAAGTGATTCATCCAGTGATATTTCTAGGAAAACAACACTGATCACGAGACCCTACCAAACGCCTCGGCACCGCGCTAAGGATGTTCCTGAAAAAGAAAGCCTTTCAAAGGAAATGACCGAAAGTGTATCTGCTGTTGATGACATGAAATTGACGGTCGAAGAGGTAAAAGATGAAAGTAGGGAACTACGAGTGGTCGATGTTACCATGGATGATATAAAAAAACTTCCTAGTGTTTTGCACGAGACAGCGGAACTAAAAAACAGTTTAATTGATAAAGATATCGTTGACGTAGATAACAAATTGAAAGGAACAGTTTTTATAGAAAAAAGTTCGACCCCGATAGAAGAAACTTCAAGTATAGGTACCGAAAGTCAAGGAAAGATATCTAGTCTTAAAAAACCGGAGGATATGAAAGCTCTGAAGGATATAAAAACAACGAAGATAAAAGATGATTCTAAAACTAAAAAACAGGATAAATTTGACGATAATAAAGATAAGCTTGTTAAAAAATCAGAAAAAGATACTAAAGGAAGGAAACTATTATTAGAACGTTCGAGAGTCGCAGCTCGTAAGGATAAAAAAGATTCCTTAGAGGAAATAACTGATAATAAAAAAGATTATTTGACGGAAAAAATCTTTAAACAATCTAAACGTCGTTCTCCCAAATCGATCGGAACACAATCGGAGAAAAAATTAGAAAAGGAAAAAATAAAGGCGACGTTAAAAACGACAGAAGATCGTGAGAAACAATCGAGATCGACAAAATCGTCAAGCAGTGGTGAAAAATCATCGAGTTCTCCAAAAACGGGTGACACCGACACTGGTAAGACTAGATCGAAATACATGGCTTGGTACACCCAGAAAAGAGAAGAAATGGAAAAGAAACGAGAAGCTAAGAAAGCCGAGGAACAGGACGAACAGGATCAATTACCGCGTTGGTTGAGAAGGAGCCTGGCTCATAGAAGATCGATTCCGGATGAAAAAAAAAAATTGGATATTAAGACACCGGAAGTAACACCAAGAACTAGACGTAAAATAAAGCCTTTGGTGAACGTGGAGTCTGAACAATTAAAAGCTATTGTTCGTCAAGGACGAAAATTAAGGAAAGCTGAAGGTGGCCAATACGAAGATCCTCCGATTCAAATTTTTGCCTCGACTCCACCTACGCCAGCACCAACCGAATCAAAATATCCTCGTCACCATCTCTTTCAACATTCCGAGTATAAATACGAAAAAATTCCACCACCATTTTACCTTCATCCTCCACCACCGCCCCATCCCTCGCCACAATTATCACCGGAACATTACGATCCTCAACGAACGACGGAGTTTGTTAGACCAGAAATGGAACTTGATTCTGGTGCTGGTATATCGATGACAACAGGAACGAGATTGAGACATCAACAACTTCTTGAAAAGAAGAGCGTTTTTGATATCGCTTACAGTGAAGCTGCACCATCCCAATTACGGGCTGACAGTACAACGCCGCCTTCCTAATTGATATGTCAGCTTGAATGTTATAAGACCTGAACAATATGTTGTCATATTAAAAACGTGCAATAAAATATACTTGCGATATCGTGATATAAATGAGAAAAATTAAGTGTGAGAAAATAAAATATGTGAAAGAAGTAAAGAAATGAATGTGCGAAATAGATACGAAGAATATTTTCAATTTTCAATTTGAATATTTCGATAATGTTAAGTCATTTGGTCGAAGTTATAGAATTAGAAGAAAAAACTTTATTAAAAATTGTGGCCTCCAAATTAAAGGACCAAAAATTTATGGATATAATATTTCATCTAATATTTCAATATTCTCTATCCGTGGCTATTTTTTATTAAAAATTAAATAAATACAATATTTCTATCGTATCGCGCGTGGTGCATCTTCTGTTATCACTACTGCCGTTGAATAATGATACGAATTCATTAATTATTAAGCACATCGCATCGATGAACAAATTTTTTATTACGACTGTTGGCTCATTGTAACGGTGTTTGTATTAATCTTGTAAATACATGTGTATAAAAACTAAAACAAATAGTGTCAACGTTAATCGTCGATCACCTTTTTAATTTATATAAATTACAATTCCATTTTATCCATTGGTATATATTAATTATGGGTATTTTGAAAAAAAAAATAGTATAATACATTAGAAGCTGAAAATCCTAATCTAAAAATTGATTAACATATAAAAATGTTCCCTCATAAATCTAAGCGGGCTGGGTTTTTGTCTAGGTGGCTTTTGTCTTTTTGCTCATTTTTTTATTATATCGAAAAATAAAATCCCGATTAAATAAACTAAGTACGAAGCAATGCATGTAAGACATTTATTACATGCTTTATTGGACGAAATCGAGTAAATTAATACACTATTTCACCACTACTAGCCACGAACAAAATACGTAATAAAAAAGAAAGTGCATTAATTAATTGCATTATTAATTAAATGAATTAACCGGTGAGACAAGAAAACCTATCCTGAACTAATATCATAAAACATACAATACAATATACAATATAATATACAATTTTCATGAGTAATTCCTAAAAAGAAATTACTCGTGTGCTCGTCACTTATTTATTAGAATAATTACAACCAGTAACTCRTGCCGATTAGGACCTTTCATCCTCGACATGATTGAGCACCGGAGGGACTTTAAATTTTTTTACTCACTCGGTAAGAAGTTCTAGGATGGCTCTAAAACACTCCTACTTTGCAGCAAGTATTGAAGAAGATCTATCGAAGATCCATCGATGATCCATCGAAGAATTCATCCCACATCTTTGATAAGGTAGAAAGTCCGTCGTCATATCTGTAAAATAAAATAGAACAAAATGATAAGTTATATGTAATATGATCCAAAATCATATCAAACAAAAACGAATAAAATGTTAATAAAAATGAATATTTACAATGCATTCCAAAGGGATGAAGCTCAATGGCATCATGGTAATAATGCATCTCGCGTGAATCTAATGACGCGGTATAAACGAAAATAAGAAACTATAGATGAGTTTCTTATCGCGAAACCGAAATTAAATTATACGGCGAACAACACTGACTCTAATTCGCGTTTGATTTTAATTTGTTTTACGCCCGTTCACTGACTCTACAACTAATTCAAAGACTGCTTTGCACACAGTCTATTGAAACAAACAAATTTCACACTTTATTTTAATCCCGAAAAGCGTTAAATTTTAAATCTTCATTGATGCACTGACTCTAATACGCGAACAGTTTGTGCGACTGTTTAAAGATAAAAATACAATTTTACTCGAACAAACTCTAATGCAATTGCATTGCATTGGTCGCAGTTAATTTAATATATGAATTTCAAAAATAGTTCGCGAACGCGACGGAATTGAAATTAACGAACGAACGTGCWTCTAATYCGTGATTTTAWTKWTATTTRAACGATCAAACACTCCCGTATATTGCTTCGCGCACGATTGCAATGCACGAACACTTGCAACACTTTACAAACCCTTCTAACGCTGCAATATTCCCATGATGATCTAAAACAGAAATAAAAACAGAATTATGAATATCATTGTTGCAAGAAAAAATTATTATAATTATTAGGAAAGTGCTTAAAATAATAATTGACTTACGTTTATTCTTCAGTGATGAATACACGATGGATATCCTATCCTTAAGATGACGATGAGCACACGTTTAAAAAGAATAAAAGAAACTTACGGAGTTTCTTTACCCGAAAAAACGAAACTTTTACTTACGGCGTACAACACTGACTTTACTTCCCGATTCTTTTATATTTTACTTTACGATGCAACACACGAGTAATTCATTGCTTACGCGCTCGATTGCAATGATGTTCTGAAACAGAAAAAAAAAAATTAATGTCATCGTCGTAATAAAAAACCATTGAAGTTATTATAGATACTTTCTATAGAAAAATATACTTACTTTTATTCTTCATTGATGACTGCAGGATGGGTTTCCTACCCTTAGGATGACGATGAATAAAATAAAAAAAAATAAAAAATCTGTAAAAAGCTGAAACATACTAAAGATTATATTATAGTACAATATTCCCTGTTAATCATTCCTGAAGGCATTTCACACATTTTAAAAAATATTCTATCACAAAGATTAGATGTTAGATATAAAAAGTTGTCTAATAAACAATTGTCGAATGTTTTAATAAGATAACACGTTAGAAATAAAATTATTAAATAGTTTAATACGTTACACGTCGCATTAGATCTTACCTAGTCGAAGGACGGAAGAGGAATGAGATACGTTACTACTTATCCTTCATCTAACATTCGGCTGTTTACGTTTTGTTTCGGCTGTCTTTCTTCTGTTTTCGCCTCGAGGCATTCCTACAAATATACATACACATTCGTAATTGTCTGTAGGTGAATTTTTTTTTTTCTTTTTCTCTCTCTCTTTCCCACTCTCGTTCTCACTCTTTCTATACATTTCTATATAGCTTAAAAAAAGAATAACGCTTACCTCGATGAATATGAAGATAAAAAAGATTAAACACAATTGTTTGACTAATATAAGTATATGTATTCGTTCTAGACTCTCCAATGCTTGGAAACTTAGAGAAGTAAAAAATACAATTACATTAGTACAATATAAAGAAAATCAAATATATGGGTGTATGTGTACGAGCTACCTATAGTTATGCATATATGCCTGTATGTGTGTGTGTATGTAACCGGAATCGAATTTAATACAAAATATGATCTTTGAAGGCATAATTATGAAAAATAATTTATCCTCAACATTATCGTAATCTTTCGATTATATCATTTGGAAATCATTGTTAAAAGAATCGGTTAGTATATAAGAAAATAATTTACATTAGAAAATATTGTTTAATTACCTAGTTTACGAGGGGAGGAATTATTTCGAAGAGGACAGTACATAGATCATATACTCCAAGCTTTTAGACAACAATAGATAATTTTTTCGATTAATTAATAATTATTTCAATCCACTAATGCACACTTCTTATATTAAAGAAAAATATTACCCTCGAAGTCATCACTGAGCAGGAGCGGTTAAATAATTACATAAAAATAATAAAAATGCCAAAATCAGAGCGTTATAATCTTAATTTCTGTTTATTACAAATAATATTCTTGTTGCAGACATGCGCAACGTTCGAAAAAGCATATAAACAACATTTAAAACAAATAGTTTTATTGAGGACAATGATTCAATTCAACGGCGATTTCGAAAAGAAGGTTCATCACAAAGTGCATCCATATTTTTATATTACAATCTACATTTC